GGTAAACTACGGTATAACTTAGGGCAAATAACAACAACAACATTTTTATTACAATTTTATAATTTTTTTGGTAAAACTACCATAAAATCTCTAAATTAGTTCAGTAGTTTGTGACAAAAATTCATCAATACTGAAACAAATGGAAAATGGAAATATTAAGTTTTCGATTGGATGAGTTGGACTCATAGCTGAAATAACTGTTTTGTCATGCCTGCATCGAAAGTTCAGTTTTTGATGATTGAAAGCTTTGATAAGTGATGACCTTTTTCCGTCAAGCTGGTGGTAAAATGGAAATCCCCAAAAGTGCTGGGTGCACATATCAATCGTATCCCTCTGCACAGCCAGACACTGAAATCTATAACCACGATCCTTACAAAACTTTTGGTTACATTTCAAATGCATATTATAACCTCCATGCATGTTTAAAATTAATAAAACTAAATCGTTTCTTTCACGAAATTGTTTTCGTAGAATAGTCTGTTTATTGCATAGATCCCTGCATTAACTTTTCCGTCATCGATGGAGGCGTGAGAAAAAATAGTATTTGTGGCTCGTGCGTGAAGGCAATTTCACTTGGGTGAAATGCGGCCTTCGCTTGTGGCCCGTACCGCACACGTTGCTCGAGGCTGAAATGGCTCACTTCCCGCCTTTACCTCACAATATACTATGACGTAGGTACAGTTTAAGTGGTAGGCGATATAGTTTTTTTATTTTTTAGTAATTATTATTTTATTTTGAATTGTTGTTAAATAGTATAATTTGTAATTCATGTATCAATTATTTAAATCAATATTCACAACCAATAGAATGTTTTTTTAATTAATCTCAAATATGGTATCTGTTATTACTTATTAGCTCATACAAATACTAAAACTGGTACAAATTGACCTTAAATAACTAGAGAATTGAAAAATATATTGTTTTTTTAAACATTGAAAACCATACGAAAATAAATATTTTAATGTTATATTTATTTATGCAAAATAGCAAATAAGCAATTTAGTATCAAGAAACAAATACTTACATCACAAAATAACACTTCAACACTGCAATCACAATAATATGTTAATATGATTTGTCCTATTTTAATATGGCCCTTGGATCATAGGTATTTGTTCATTCCGATCAATGTGGCGTGTGTGCCCGCTTGTGTACCATAAAATGTCTACTTACACAGAATTACTTGTCACGTACATCATACGGGTTTTCACCAGTGTGTGTGCGTCGATGGACGGACAAATGGCTACTTTGGCTGAACGACTTGTCACATACATTGCATGCGTAAGGTTTTTCTCCAGTGTGTGTGCGTCGATGTTTTGTCAATCCCCCACCATAACTGAACGACTTGTCACATATATCACATGCGTACGGGCTTTCTCCAGTGTGCTTTCGTTTGTGGGCCGTCAAATTTCCACTTACAGAAAACGACTTGTCACATATATCACATGCGTACGGGCTTTCTCCAGTGTGCTTTCGTTTGTGGACCGTCAAATTGCCACTAGCAGAAAAAGACATGTTACATACATCGCATGCGTAAGGTTTTTCGCCAGTGTGTGTGCGACGATGTTTTGTCAATCCACCACTTTCACTGAACGACTTGCCGCATACATCGCATTCGTACGGTTTTTCACCAGTGTGTGTGCGTCGATGGACGGACAAATGGCTACTTTGGCTGAACGACTTGTCACATACATCGCATGCGTAAGGTTTTTCTCCAGTGTGTGTGCGTCGATGTTTTGTCAATCCACCACTTCCACTGAACGACTTGTCACATATATCACATGCGTACGGGCTTTCTCCAGTGTGCTTTCGTTTGTGGGCCGTCAAATTTCCACTTACAGAAAACGACATGTCACATACATCGCATGCGTAAGGTTTTTCGCCAGTGTGTGTGCGTCGGTGTGTCGTCAAAATGCTGCTACTACTGAAAGACTTGTCACATACATCGCATGCGTAAGGTTTTTCGCCAGTGTGTGTGCGTCGATGTGTCGTCCAAATGCTGCTACTACTGAAAGACTTGTCACATACATCGCATGCGTAAGGTTTTTCTCCAATGTGTGTGCGTCGATGTATTGTCAATCCACCATTTCCACTGAACGACTTGTCACATATATCACATGCGTACGGGCTTTCTCCAGTGTGCTTTCGTTTGTGGGCCGTCAAATTTCCACTTACAGAAAACGACTTGTCATAGACGTCATGTAGGTAAAGTTTCTTCTCCATATTTTCGCTGGTGCGTTGTTAGTCTGCCTTTAATAGTAAATTATCTATTTAACATGTCATTGTTTTTCATACATTTATTTGGTTACTATGCTAGTCAGTTTGCGATTAATTAGAATTTATTGAATTCACTTTATTTTTAAGCCAGCTCTTGTTGTATTACTTTTAAAACTTTAAATAGAGTTTAATATTATGTCGAATATAACACAAACGTTTTTATAAAATCATTAATTTATTCTAAATTTAAAATAATAATATTTTACACAGCAATGAACTCTAACATCTAAATATATGATTTAATTCCAGTGAATTCATTTTGTAACACAAAATATATATCACACCTGTGTAGCTGTAATCCGTTAGTGACCATGATATCATACTTAAAATTATTATGTACATGCATTCTAATATCAGGTTAGGTTAGGTATGTGTATAATTCATATGCATGTGTATTTTACCACTTGTGTATATTGATATGATAAATTTAGAATTTATATGTTGAAATGTTAGCTTGTACTTATAGGGCAATTTTTTAAAACCATCAAAATTACTTGTTTATAAAAAATGATACAGCTTATGCGTTGCTCCGAAAAATTTTAGAAACAATTTATTCACAAAAAACGTGAGTTATCGCAATCATATCTTACCTAAATTATTTTCTTACAGTGTGTTAAAAACGATGGCAGGTCCCTGGACTACAATTTTGAAATTTCGAAATTTAAGACCACCGTATAATATGTGTCTTGCAATAATTTGCATTCACGCTGCGCATGTCAGATATATCATAAGTACAAAACGTTATTCAGCCGTTTAATTTTATAATGGCTGTTTTCCTTTTTATTACGTTTAAATTGGATTTTCTGCTTTTTTACAAAACGCCTTTTTCCGTATAATAAACGATAATAAATTGTATAAATTATTTTTACTATCGCCGGCTTTTGTTTTTACTTTCCGAGCGAAAGACAACACATTATGCGTACAAACAGTTTTAGCCAACACTATTACAACCAAACGCTTATGACTTGTAACTCGCAGTTATTATAACTACCACCTACTATACCACGGTTATCGACTGAAAGTGGTTGTTGTAGGTGTTTAAAATTCGCTTTTAGTGCTTATACGTTTCGCGAAATCCTAAAAATATCTTAACATTATGTCGATTAAATGATAATAAAAACAATAATTGTTTAACACTCAATTGTATTATGTCTACAAACACCGCGGCCCTACTGCAAAACAAACAACACCACCGCCGCCGCCGAGCCGTTTAAAATGTGAAAAAAGCCGTCGGTTTGAAAAAAAATAAAAAACAACGCAGGTATAAGAAATCGAATCTGTCCACAAAAATAATGTGTCGTCTATCATTGACGCGAAAATTCAATATTTATCTATTTATGTCTGTCAATGCTTACCTATATATCGTGCGATTTTAATTAATCGTACTCCACACAGACTCGCAGCGAGCGTATTTACTGTTTAGTTTTTCGACTGAAATTTAATTAAACTGCAGGTTGATTCTTTTTACGGTAAAAACTTTTTTTCTCTTCCGAATAGTTTTAACGAAACATTTTTACGTATTAACCGTAGAAGTGAGCAGAGAAAAAAGAGATCGTTCTGAGAAAAAATAATGTATTTTCGTTATCATTTTTTAAGATTTAACTTTTTTTAACCGCAAATAACGTTTTAAATTTTATACTCCTGGTGCAGAACACTCTTTTCACAATTTATAAAATCAAATTCAGTACAAGTAGTTAGTCGTTGGTTATAAATTAAAAATGTATGTGCTGCAGGTTATATAACAAGTGCAATACTGAAACGTTTTAGATATCTTTGTAATCTCATATATAAATTGTTTTTGCTCAAAATACATTTATTATTTGTTATATTATCGTAATGAATGTCGTTAAGATAAAAATAATTGGTATATAGTGGTGTTTTCGAAATAGTCGTAGTAAACTAGTGTGATGCGCGAATGCGTAAAAATCATACCTGCGGTGGATTTGCAGACCCCTTGATGTGCGTACGTAATTACGAATGATAATTGACTTCTGGGAGAAGATTTACGAATTACGATGGACATTTTTGTTTGTAAATGGTTGCTATTGGTTTTAACAAGAATAATTATTTTTAAAGCGATAAGCCTGTTTGCGCAGTATGGCACTTCTATGTAGGTATTTTAGTACAGAATGTCTCAAGTTTGAACCAAGGTTTCGGTGGACCATTTTTTCGCATTGTTTTTTCCTTATTTTTCATTTTTTATTTTTCTTTCTCATCTACACATACGAATGTTTTTTTTTTTTATTCTTTGGATTTTAGTACGGTTAGGTACGGTTTTGCATTAGTTGAATATACTGCTACGAATGTGAAGTACAGTAAGAGACGAGATACATTAAAATATAATATCATTTACACTTAAATAGATATTACTTCCACATCATCTTACACCCAAAAAAGAGTTGAACAATCAGAATTTTTTTTCAGTCAACGCCGGATAATTCAGCTAGAATTATATAAAATATTTAACGAATATTATGATTAAAAAATATTTTAAATAATTTTCATAGATTTCGAAATAATTAGTGTCTTACGTTAAACGGAATAGTCAAATGGTTTTTCGGTCAACTTCTTTCGTTTTTTCAATTGCCTTGCAGTCGACAGTCACCATATTTCTATATAGGCTGTATCTCCTTAGATATTGCGTTTCATCATATTTGTCATTACCTTGATTGACTGACGATGAAACGACAATGCAAAGCAAACAGAAGTATAGGTATATCATTTTACAATATATATTCATTATACTGACTTGAGAAATTGACCGAAAAATGCTTATCCGTCTTTAAAGGCTGCCTATTGTGGTTCAAAAGCAGGTCGCCTTCGTCGACAGAAAGTTGGTTCGAAAACTGCGCATCCTCGCCCGAAAACTGCTCGTCCAAGCCCGAAAAAGGCTCTTCGTCACCGCAAATCTCCCCGTCGTCGCCTGACTCGTTGAGTTTTTCTTTAAATAAACTATACCATGCCTGGGCTTCCTTTTTAGCTTCACAGTATATATTTTTTTCCTTGTGATCTGTCCACTGGTTAAATTCATTGACCAGGTATCTTGGTTCAAATTCCTTCGATATGGGAAACATTTGAAACAGCCTTTCCGCCCGACAAATGGCCATGTCAAATGAAGCTATTTCTATATCTAGAGCATCAGCATTTTGCTTTCCCGTCTTCCTGATCAACCATTCGACCACTGCAAAGTGATGGAAACCCTCTTCAAATCGTTCATTTTTCTTGGCTTCAATCCCTTGCGCCACAATCGTTTTGACGAGCAGCCAAATGTTCAGCCTTTTTTCGCTTCTTCTTTTAATTCCAATAAGGACCAGTTTTCTGGTGGGTTATAATCCATTTCTGCTACCATAATCTTCGCCTCTAAATCTAGATCATGATGAATATTTTCTGCAGCTCTGGCACATTCAAAGAAAGCATTTACTGCCAGCCTGGTTGAACCGACTGCTTTGTACTTGAGGCCCAACTCGAACTGTATTTCTGCTTTTATCATCCGTGGAATATTTTCTGGTTCTCCTGACGCTTCAAGCAGTCTGTAAGCGTTCTGTAACGTACGCAGCGCCTTCTCCGGCTTTGATTGATAGCGATTTGTCTCAGTAGATGTTTTTGGAACATACATGCCAGCGTCCATACGCTGTATGGCTCTTTAAGAAACCCTCCATATTCATCAACTCCCATTGAGTGGTGTAGGTCTGACGTTACCGATGGAAATATCAGTCTGTTTGGGCCGTCGTCAATGGTTCGAGCCTTCTCTAGGTAATACATGGCATCTTCAATACATTTGCTATTGCCGTAAAATACGCCTGCCGCGTACCAGAACACTGCAGATTCCGGTCTGTTATCTTTGACACCGTCACGGGCACGGTTGTTCAACATAAGAGCAGTAATCAAAATAGCTTCGGCCACCCACATCCATTTGAACTCCGGCGGGTCAAACCATTCTGTTGTGTTAGATTTCTCATGCTGACAGACTAAAAATACAGCATGTAACATGCGAATCGGCGATTCGCTTACTTTCAGCAAATCATGAATTGTTAACAGCAGATCTGGTTCTGATAGGATTGATGGACCACATTTGTACGTATGATGTTGGATTTGTCGTCTGTTGTCCATATTCAGTATGAAGTTTGTATATTGTGAATGGACATTGTTCTCCAACTGATCAATGAAGCACTTATCCGCCAGTGAAATATATTTGTTGCGATCAGTGTCCATTTCGTCACTGAACGATTCTAATGACAGGGACGATTTTACTCTTTTACTTTTCATTATATCACACTGTTTCGTTTTATCGTGTTGTAGCTTCACCCTACTTTTCTCCAGGTACCGACTCTTGACATGTTTGTATATTGGGTTGATGTTCTTCTTAGGCAGCGTTGGAATGGTTGTCTTTGGTAGGCAGCGTTCTGGTGGGTTTTCAATCATTTTTTTATGATATTTTAAAAATACAAATAATGTTAGTTCAGTATCGTTAATTTTTTTTAGTATTGGTTCAATTTGGTTGCCATGTTTATTATATTTTGTAATAATTTTTATTAATATAATAATTTATTCAAGTTTAATTTTTTAACTGTGTATACAATTAAATTTAATGAAGACTGAAAACACTAATATTATTTTAGTTTACTTATTATTTATTACAGTTAAGTTAAAAACAATGATGTAATATAAACTACTATTACAATTAATAATTTATCAAATACAATTTTCCACATAATATATAATATTTTATTTTTCCAACCGAATTGGTCTATCCAATTTTGCAAAATAGACGTTTTTGTGGTTACATGGTTACTTATTAACGAAAACATATATATATATATATATGATTCACAAATTATCTTTGTAGAGGAAAAACATCGAGCAGCGTGCTATGGTTTTTTTTTCTCAAAATTATTTGTAAGGATTTTCAATTTTAACCTCCTAAAAGTAGAAAGTAGATTTGATTTGCTGCCAGAAATCTCATTTTAAGATGGTGATTATAGTATTTTATCTACTATAAAAAGTCAGGCACAAAAAAAAAGAATAAATAAAAAAAGAAACACACATCGTAAAATGAATACATTCTTCGCTCTGCTGAGAATCTAAAATAACAATTTTTCTTCGTGTAAAATTATCATAAATATTTAACTAATTACGAACATTTTAGATTCTGAGTGAAACGATGAATGTATTGTTATTACAATGATGTGTGTTTTTTTTTATTTTTTATTTTAATTTTTTTTGTGTCTGTCATCACGTTTTAGAACAGTAAAAGTGCTTGGAATTTCTTCAACAGTAGCTTTTCTGATAGGATAGTGAATCTAGTTGGTACTTTGGGAGGTCAAAAGTAAAAATTTCCCAGTAGTTTTCACAAGCGTAGGGAAAAACAACATAAAAATTAAAGAAAAACGGGAATTTTTAAGCAAAATCGGTTTTCCAAAAAATCGATTTTGGTTTTTGGTGTAACTCTAAAAGAAAAGAACGTAAATACATGAAATTTTCACTGCTTGTTTATATTTGCAATTTATATACACGAAAACGTTTTCAAAATATTTTGATTTATTTTGAACTGTTTAGGGACATTTTCATTTTCCATCTTTTTTTAGTTTTTTTTCTAAAAATATCAGTAAAATTTTATTTGTTGGTTGCGAAAGCTTGAAAATTTAATAGAAGGCTACTAGTATATTGTTTCAAAGGCAGATGAAAAATATTAAAAATCCTTAGTCACAATTTTTTTTTATAAGCATGAAAAGTTCAAAAATTGACAAAATATGAAAAAATCACGAAAATTAGCAAATTATTTTGAGTTAAGAATCGTAAAAAATTTTCCTTATTTTGTTGTAATTCAAAAACTAACTGTAGATACATGAAAATTTCACTGAATGTTTAAATTAGCATTTCCTATAGACATCCTATAGGTATCCTACACCATACAAATTTGAAAATATTTTGACTCTTTTTGAGCTATTTACGGACATTTACCGCTTTCAATTTTTTTTTAGTTTTTTTTTCTATAAATATCAATAAAGTTTTATCTGTTTTGCCAAAAAGTGTAAAAATTTAATACAAGGCTCCTGATATATTGTTACAATATCAGTTGAAAAATATTAAAAATACATACGCACAGTATTTTTTTATAAGCATTTAAGGATCGAATTTTGACAAAATGTATCAAAATCTCGAAAATTATCAATCATTGTAATTAATAAATTATAAAATGTTCAGTTTTTATAGCTAATGATTGCAAATTTAAAACAAAGGTTCTCCTAAATAGTTCATACTGTAACCAAAAAATCTAAAAAATATATGAACACAGTTATTTTTTACAGACATTTTAAATTCAAATTTGGACGAAATTACATATTAAAAAACCTAGAATAACTATTTTAGTTATTTTGTTTTGATTGAATAATATTATTCGTGGGTACTTGAAACTTCTAAAGTGTATTATTATATATCTATGATAGTATCATGGTTTTTGTTGATGTATAGCGCGTTATAAGTACCTAATGGATATTGTGATATGATTAATTTGGAATTCATTATATGTACCTACCTATTATAGGTCAAATTTTGGTTTAGTACCATAGATATGTATATAGTATGTCTTATACCTAGACTGACATACCGTCTCCGCTCAGAATCATTTTTCTTATACAATGATATTATATCATTGAATTCAAATCTAATACCATTCATTATACAGTGACCCACTTGTAACCTACTGTACAGCAGAGCACCTTTTTTTTCATTTGATTTACTTTTTCATCAAACAAGATACTGAAGTTCAAAATTGAAACATTATTTAGACTACCTACTTACCGTGTAAATTAACAGACACATAGACACAAAACTTTTTTTTTTTTAAAACACACATCATCGCTCCATTCAGATTCTAAAATTATAATTTATAGATGAGATACATATCGGCCACGAGCCATGACTGAATTATAATTTAAAATATATATAATATATAATCATATATACGTATAATTTTTAATATATTTAATATAATTGATATATAACTTTGAGTGCATCTAACCATACAGTATTGGTTATAAACCGTTGTCTTTTTTTAACTTTAATCATTAAAATACTGGTTCTATAGGACACCAAATTAATATGTAACACAAGAGTGCAGAAGCTGATATACATAGTTAAAATATAAATTATAACCAATCGGTAAGACTCTTATATATTACGTGATGAATATATTGTAACGATATCCGCCGTGATTAAGTACATGGCATCACTACATCTACATGGAGGCCGAACGCTTTTCACGTGGCTTAACCTTCATGTAGCATCATTTATTAAAATAAAATAATATTCACAACTTTGGTATACTCTCGTGAGCCCAAAATCTACTTTTCTAAACGAGCGCTGGTGAGTATATGTAGAAGGGACATAATTTGCCTTATCCCCTCCAACATTTAATATGCACAATAATAAGTTTAAATGTACTTCGAATTTGGCTGATCAGAGATGAATATGTTGAAACGTAGGGTTCAGTACTGCGGTAACTGCGCCTTGAGGTACATTAGGGGAAGTATCCACAACGGAAAAAGCGGCCTTTTAAGTAGGATATTATAATTTAAATACTTTACAACATATATTACGCTTACAAGATATGAAAAAACTGTAAGTCTGTAGTTGTATTTGTGGTAATTTTTGTACCAAATTTTTTACTAGTTTTTACATACTGCTCACTAAATAACAATGTAATTTAAGCTTTTGTCGATTGTTCCATATTAATCTTGGGTTGCATAAAGAATTTATTAATTTGATGGGTCAATAATTTAAATTTCAAGAAACATTTTCACGATTATTTGTAAATATCTTGAACATCAAGTCACGTGCATATGGCGCATGAATATTAAAAAGTTATGGATATACTGTATAAATATTTAGTCTATTAAGAAAATTAACGGTAATTTTGTTTTGTACTTGTATGCTGTTGTCTAATGTACACTAGCCCATGCCATATTGGCTTAAAATTTAAACTAGCTCCTAATCCTCTGTTTTTCACAGTGTTAATTCTGTATTCTTGTTACTAACATCAAAGTTCTTCCCCATCGTATTCGATCTTATTCACTGCATCTTTTATTTATCCTGATTTTCAGTGATT